TTTTCACTTCCTTCTTCAGTTCATTTTACAGAGAAGGAAACTGAGGTAAACCAACTTACGTGACTTGCCCAAGGTCACATATCTAATAAGTGTCTGAGGGAAGATTTGAACTCAAGTCTTTCTGACTCTAGGCTTGGTGCTCTATCCACTGTATTTTTTAGCTGTTCCACTTCACATTATAATAGAAGCCCAGAGAAATGTGGTTTGCCCAAGGTCATTTAGCTGGTTGGTAGCTGAGTTTAAAATAGAACTTAAGCGTATTGATTCTAAAGCTTTCTCCAGTACTCTACATCATAAATTTATTTTTAAACATTTATAACAATAACTTAGCATATGATTAACTGGAAACATTCTAGGTGTCTAGCAATATCTTATGTTTCATAGGTGAAATAAAGCATAAACCTTGGTCAGAATGCTTAAAATCTTGTTAAGAAGACAAGTTTAACATAAATGAGTAACACAAGTAATCAGTAAGTCTAGATGTAATTGAGAGATTCATTACATAGTACAGATCATAAATGGTATAGAAATTAAGAGAATGGGAAAATCAGAATATTTTAGTGTTTACTAAGGAACACTTCTTTGAAGATTTAGAACCTTAACCAGAAATTAAAGGAAGTCTGATATTTGTTTGAGGGAAGAGGATTGTGCTGGGGTTTAAGAGGTAGAAGAAGAGAAAAGTGTAAGCCAGGCTGGCATGAATAATAAAAGATACAGAGAGAAATAATATATATTATTAATATATATATATATAATATATATATATATATATATATATATATATATATTATAATATATATATATATAATATATATATATAAATATATACATGTATGTATATATAAACACACATGCACCTACATATACGCCTATATCAACACACATACGTACATATGTGTATGCATGTGTGTATGTATATGCAAACATCTACTGTGTATATACATGTGTGTGCATGTATATATGTATATGTATGTGTGTGTATATAGGTATGTATACACACATACACACACACCTATATACACACACATACACACACATATACATATACATATATATACATACATACACACACACACACACACACACACACACACACATAAACATCTACCAGGAACAATAAATAGAGCTAACTTACTGGAATGGAAGTTATGTGGAGAAGAGTTAGATAAAGTTCAATGGGCCAGTTGAATTGGTATCAGATTATAGAAGACCTTGAAAGCCAAATATAGATTTGACATTTGGTGCCATTGGTAATATGAAATCATTCTAGTTTTTGTAGCAGAGGAATGACATGATTAAAGCAATTTTTAATAGTTAGAAGCAATGGACTTGGAGAGACCATGGAACCAGGGACGCCAGCTGGGATACTATTACTAATTACATTCTAAGGTAAATCATCCTTCACACCATAAGTACTTTGTAACTACCATATGATTAAATTTCCTGATAGGTTACAAACTATGTGAGGGCAGGTATCAGATTTCAATTCTCCTTTTATCTCCCATAGTTCATTGTATTATACATAATGGATATTTAATGAATAGTTGTGTAATTAACAAAATTATCACAGGCATCTCATCGTATGTGACATTGTCTATGTGGCAGTGGGGAAACACAGAATAAGGAAGACAGGTAGTTTAGAAAAGAATGCACTATATGTGATCTCTGAAATTGGAGTTAGGGTGCTCTTAGTTCTGCTATTCACTACCTGTGTGATGTTTTAGGCAAATCACTTGACCTCTCTAGGCTTTAATTTCCATTTTCATAAAAGTAGTCTACCCAAATTAGGAGTTCTTTACCTAAAGTCTCTGTCTGTGTTATTTTTAAAAAAAGAAAACTTTCATAACTGTATTTCGGTATAACTGATTCTGTATTTGTGATTCTAATAATTTTATTTAGTGCATTTAAAACTATTATTCTGAGGAGGTGTCCAAAGGATTTACCACACTTCCTAAGGGGTCCCTAATATGGAAAAGGTTAAGAACCCTTGACCTAGGTGATCTCTTAGCTCCCTTACAATTCTAAAACTTATGGTCCAATGACTTTGAAATACAGATCTGGGGTTTTTCTATGCTGACTATCATCTTTAAAAGGTCTCCCATATGGGATTAGAGCCCACAAACTGGAAGATGCAAAATCCCTTAAGTAAACAAGCTATCTGTAGCTAACATGAAAAGCCGCCTTATGAGAAAGTATCAACTGCATTCCAATTTAGGATATATTTAGGGCTGCTGTTCCTTTGTTTTTATTGTTTTCTTCTTATTTTCTTATTTCTGCCTTCTTCCTGGTTAACTATAATTGAAACTGCAAATTGTCATTTTGCCACCAGGAAAGGAATCTAAATGTCAGTTGTTTCTTAGAAATCTTCCCCCTCAAGGCTTCAGGTTGTGTTTAACAGGAAGGGACTGAATCAATTGGAAAGCCTCTACAAAACTCTGAATTGATAACTGAAGTTCACCTACCAGAGGCTCCACAGGTAAAGAGTGAGGGGCTGAAAGAGGGGCCATCCCTCCATGGGATGCTTCCTTGTGTGTCTACAGAAAATCATCTCATGTATTAGATCCCTATATCTATGACTCAGGTGAATTCTCATCTTTACTAAGCTCTCCAAACATGGTTTTGTTTATATTCTATTGGCAGTTAGTGAAACCACTGCAAATGAAGTCATCAACTAATAAAATATGGATTCTGTACTTCTTTCACTGGATTCGATAATATCGTTTTCTCTTAGAGAACCCTAAAACAAGGTGGTCCAAGGTACATACATATTTTAGAATCTGAGAATCTTAGCACTCTATGGCATATTAGCAATCATCCATTTTAACCCTGCCTTTTTATAGATGAGTAAAAGGAGGCCCAAAAAGGTCAACTTACTTCTCCAAGGTCATAAAAGCCATTGCAGAATAGTGGACACAACATTAGATATAAAGGCAGAGAACTCAAATTTAAATCCTGTTCTTACTATTTATTCCTTGTGTCACCTTAAGCATGCCATCTCACCTCTCAAGGCTTTAGCATCCTCATCTAGAAGAAGAGGAAGTTGGACTACATGATCTATCATCTAGATCTTTCCCAATTCTACAATTTTATGATTTTTAGATCCAGTTAATGGCCAAGGCAAGATTTGAACTCATGTCTCCTAATTAGTAATATAGCTCCCTACCTTCTACCTTACATTTTACTTTTCTTTAAACCACAGAGTTAGAATTGATTAAATAATAATAATAAAAGAAAATGTATGCTAATTTGTCTTTCTTTACTACTAAATATAATTTATTGAATTTACTCACAAAAATTAGGGCCTTCACATTCATTCCCCAAAGAATTCTTAGCTATATTCACTTGAGTTTTTGCCTAGTCTATATTTTTTAAGTATTTATTTCTGTGTCTAGGTGTCCCATCTTCCCATTTTGTTATAATTTCCTCAAGGACAGGGAAAATGCCTTTCCCTAAATGACTTATTGTTTGGAAGACAGATACCAAATTTTTGCATGCTCTCTTTCTTCCCTGAAAGAACCTGCTGCTTCCAAAAAAAAAAATAATGGTGCTAAGAGAGCTAATGTCAAAATATTGGTCTGTGGAAGCACATGAGGAAAATTAATCTGTGATTTTCTCACTATTGGGATTAGGAAGAATTCCAATTGATGAAAGAAGCAGGATTTCCCAAAAAACAAACAGATAATATAATTCTTCATGTTTGATAAACTGTGAAATATTGCCCTTTTCTTTTATTTCCAAACCCAACATGTATCCACTGCCATTCAAGAATATATGTGTGTGAAATTGTGTTAATGTGTGTATATATATATATATATATATATATACACACACACACACACATACATACATGTTTATAATATACATATATTTATATTTCATATTCCTGTGATTTATTTGGAACTCTAAATGGCATGTAAATTAAGTAATAAAGAAACTTTATTTTTAAATTAAATTAAAAAATGCTCAAAACTCTGAGCAAAAAAGAATACACCCTCAAGACCTTCAGCAGAAAGTTTTTCATGGTACGATAACCATATATAATTTCTTATTAGACTTGAGTTGATAGAGCTGTTGGTGATGAGTGTTCCTCTTGTAACACTGAGTGCATTTTTTTTATCTTTTATTTTCTTAACTATGTTCCCTTCTCTTTCTATTTAACCATTGTGAATGATCCATGGACACTGGAACAACCATGGAAATATTTGAATTACAAATAAAGTTAGATAAACGTCATTACAGAATTTTAGAGTTGAAAGAATCTTAGAGATCAACTAATCCAACTCGCTGCTTTCACAAATGAAGAAGTTGAAAGTCCAACAAAGGACTTGGCCAAGGATCATACTTTGAGTAAATGGCACAGTTGCTTCTGACTCCATTTATTTTATTCTTTCCTATACACCAAGGTTTTTCTTTAAACTAAATTAAGTTTTACATAAAACAATGAACTAGTAAACATTTCTGATCACACCCTTATTTTCTGAATGAATTCCTCCAAGCTATTGTTCCTCAGGGTCAATGTGCTGATAGCACAAATTACATTGCTCACCTGAAGAGGAACACCAGCTATTTAATGGCCTTGGGGTTTACTTTAAACATTTCTTTTGTTAGGACACAAAATTCTAGATGGGCAGCCAGAAAATTAGTGCAAATGTATTACTTCCATTACTCAATAACAACCAATCAGGCTAATACATGAGGCAAGCAACAAAAGCCAAAGTTTCACAAAAAGAAAGCACTTCCTATAGGATATGATTTTGGGGGTGGCAAGAAGTGTTTTCTCCTTTCCTTCCCACCTGAAAACTTATCTCCCCATCTATCCCATAGTTTCCTGGAATTCTGAAATTAATACTATATGGGCTTTTGTTTTAAAATGTAAATACCCTTTGAAGAGAAGTCATTGAAGCTTTATTGGTTATCCTAGATTCGAACTTATTAATCGAATTCTTTCTTGACAACAGTTTTTAGGTGGAAGAGGAGAAGAAAACATGGTTTCTGCAACACAAGTAAAAAGAGTAAAAATAGCATAGAAGATGAGGATACCACAACCTTTGTCTGATTCATAATTTCAAGTAAGTTCTAGCATATATGAAACTATGTGGTTTAGAGAAGATGATACATTGTCAAGAGAAAGTTTTATATATATATATATGTATATATACGTATATATACATATATATACATATATATATGTATATATACGTATATATACATATATATATATACATATACATATATATACATATACATATATATATATACATATATATACATATATATGTATATATACGTATATATACATATATATATACATATACATATATATACATATATATGTATATATATATATATATGAATTTGTTGAAAGATTAAATGTCAAAAGAAAACGAAGGGGAAGAATCATCTGATAAAGAATAGCAGATGCAGATCTCATGGATAAGAAAAACATAGACTCATTTAGATTGTAATATTAATATGGAAAAAAAAAGTTTTGAATTTGGTGTCAGAAGGTCTAAGTTAAAATCACAATTCTACCACTTACTAAAAGTCAGAAAATTAGAGTAACAAAGGACTAACTGAGAGAATGGCCTTTAGATAGGAGGTTTTCACTTGGAAGGCAAATTGATTCTTTACATATGTTGACTCTTTGGAAACATTTAATGTAGGGATTAGTTGATTGCATCAGCATCTCTGCAAGAGTACTTAAGGGTGCTAGCCTGAGAATAGGAAAAGAGCTAGTTTATAAATGCTAGTGATGCTGAGACTGGCCTTTACTCATTGTGTACAATAATTGAGCCTAGGCTGACAAAGAATTTAGCCTATTTCAGAAAGGCAGGGAGTGTCTGAGAAGAAATTGAGAGCCTGAAAGATGCAGGGAAGCTATGGTGGCTACAACTTAGACACTGTCTCTTGTGCTTGTGCTGTGTTGGTTTCCTTTCAAAAGTGTTGCTGCTGGACTGAGTTCTTGACTTTGGGTTTCTGTTAAGTTTAAATGCCCAATATGTACCCACATGGGAAGAAACCATGTGAATCAGACATATCAGATTGAATTAATTTTTATCTATATGAACCATATAATGTGAACTTCCTCTTTATTCTTGTCCCTTCCATATGGTGTTATCAGGCCGATGGGGGCACAAGACCTTCACAAATCGGGGCCTCCAGAAATGACTGGTGATCATTTCTTTTCTCTGGGTCTCCATTTTCTGATCTACTGATTGAAGGCAATTAGACTACTAGATGTTTTTTGAGGTCCCTTTCACCAGCTCTAACATTTCATGGTTCTAAATCTTTCCTGGTCACATTCTTATCTCAAACACTATTGTGTGTTGAATATGAGTCTAAGAAAGGTCACCTTAGTCACTGCTTCTGTATTTGTGTGATTTTTTTTTCCTTCTGAAATTAATAGAATGGTATCATTCTTTTTCTTCTTCTGATATTAACAGAAGGATATCATTACATTGGTATCAGATAAAGGAAAATAGAGAGAGTTAGTATAAGGGCTGTGAACTTCAGAAGAAGTGGAGTTGTTGAATGACAGTGATGGATCCCAATGGCCAAGAAATAGCCATGGAGAGACAGAAACATACCAACTACAAGGAAAGGGAAAGTCTCCAATAGAGTTTATGAGAAATGTGATACAACCAAAAAAAAGATATAATTTCAATTAATTGATTTAATCGTGCTTGTACCTCCTTCTAACATTCATACTCCTTTATAATTTGGCTTCATATCCCTTGTCAAGTCTTATTTCATCCTATTTTTCTCTATTCATCAAACATGAAAAGAAAACTTGACTACTCTTTTTCACCTAACCTACCCCCATTCTTATTCTCTCTCCTTTCAGCTCTTATCTACATTTTCTGGCATCTTATTATTCTATTATACTTCATGCCATAAAGAGAAAAAATACCTCTATAGACTCCAGCATTTTGTCAATATGGAATGAAAAATGGGTTGAAGGTCAGGTGCCTTAAAATTGTGCTGAAGGACAGAGGGAAAAAAAGCATCTTTTGCTTCTGGCAAGAGTCCCAAGAATTCTCTTTTGCCAGGAAGGGATTATTTCTTGGCTCACACCATGCTGATTTTCTGTCACAGTGATAGGAATTTCCTTTGGCAAGCATCATTACTTTTATATAGATCATTGGCCCAAGAAGTCCTAGTGAATAAGGGCTAGACCTTTCCCCTTTTGGATCTTGAACATTTTGATGTTTACTAGACACTATTTATTATGGCCCATAATGCAAAAGGTTCATTTATTTCACTCTATTTATTTAGCTCTATAGCTTTCATCTGTTTATTATAATGATTTTTTTCATGCCTGTTTGCTATTTGTATTTTTTTACAATCATTTTCAGTTATACTGTTCCCCAAAACTGAACCATCCATTTCAACAGAAAAAAAAATATAGCTCAGCAAAATCACTAATAGTGAAGGAATCCTCTCAGCTTTTGAACTTGATCCAGTATCTAAAAAGTTTTGATTGTTGAGTAAATAAATGCAAATTCTTCCCCTCTGTCCCTTCTCCCCTTACCCCCACCACCACCTTCTTGCTCTGGGAATAGCTATTAAATCAATACTACCATTAGTCCTGGAAAGGGCATGACCCTCAAAAAATTACAAAAAGAGAAAAAAGACTGATATATATATAAAATTATTTATAACAGTCCTTTGGTTACCGGTAAATAACTAGAAACTAAGACAATTTTCATCTTTTGGCAAATAGCTGAACAAATTACAGTATATGAATGTTTATGGGATACTATTATACTATAAGAAGTGATGAAAAAGGATAAATTAAAAAAACCTGGGAAGACTTACATGAACAGATGCAGAGTAGTATGATCAAAACCAGAAGAACACTTTATACAGTAACAACATTATAAGACAAATAAATTTGAAAGACTTAAAATCTCTGATCAGTGTAATGACTATGATTCTAGAGGACTGATGATGAATTCTTCTATCTCCTGACAAAGCAGTGATAGATTCAAGATATAGAATGAGACATATATATGTGTGTGTGTATACATATACATATATATGTGTGTGTGTGTGTGTGTGTGTTAGTGTGTGTGTGTGTGTATCAGACAGTGTTTGAATTTGTTTTGTTTGGTTATGAATTTTCAAATATTAATAATCGTTTATTAAATATCTACTATGTGTCAGGCACTGAAGATATAAATAAGAAAAAGAAAGACATCCTACCTTCAATGAGCTTACAATCTAATGAATATAATATACAAAAGGGAGCTAAAAGTTCGAAAATTTGAAACCAAGAGCAGCTAATGATAAAGTTAGCTGGAAAAGTCTGAGCCTTCTATAAAGGGAGAACTTGGAAGAAGTTCATGCTTCATCCTCTTAGCCCTCTAATCAGAAAGGAGATGGAGGTAAGGGTGCTGAGGGAGATGTTGAGTATCAAAGCTAAATCAATCTCCCAAATGATGAGATTTCAGGTGATGACCTTCCTGGGGAAAGTATGATGTTCCTAGGGTCAAAACCAAGTAGAGCAACTTCTGGTAAATAATATTTTGTACAAGAAATTTGTTTTTAATTAAGAGGGATGGAGACAATATGAATAATTGAAAATTGATAATTAAAATAAAATGGTAGTCACTACTCCTTATTCCACTAATCATCCTTGTGATTCTTCAGACAAACACTCCCTTCCCTTGCATTACTCAGTTCCCGAGAACCTTATACGTGCTGTCTCCTACTAGAAGAATGTAAATTCCTTAAGGACAGAAACAATCTCATATTTGGAATATATATGCCCAGCCCCTATCATAATGCTTAGTATGTGGTAAGCCCTTAACGAACTTTTTTTCTCATTCATTTACTCATTCACATTGATTATGCCTGACAGCATATGTCATACTAATAGATTCTTACCTCTCTATCTCTCATCAGTTAGTTCTCTTACACCAAGACTGATCATTGCAATTACTCCGACTGGCAGACTTCATTTCATGTTTTTCATTTGAATTATTGTAGTTATCATTAATATAGCAACTTCTCTAAGTGTCGCTTTCAACTTGTATTATTACCTGCAAATTGGGACTATGAAATCCAGCATTTAGGGTAGGCCCTGGGGGCATGCACTTTTAATAATATAGCTCATGCACCCTTACCAGTGTCCTCCCTTTTAACCCTTAACCAGTAGGCTCAATTAGCTCTTAGCAAAGATATTTACTAATATGACTCAGTAAAGATAAAAAGATAGATAAAATTAACAAAAAATGAGTACAAAATTTTGCCCACAAAAAAGAAAAATAATAAACACTCATGCACAATATCTTGTAGTATACTTTCCCATAAATACACATAACATCTGTGGGGAAAAAAGGCATAAAATTAGAGCACAATGTTAGTGAGGTAGATTTGTAGAGAACAAACATGCTTTGGCAATTCACAACTCTGAATAGGTCCTGAGAATCTTTTCTTTAGTCTTTTCTACTTGTGCACCCAAGCTCTCAATTTCCTGGGCTAAAATGCTCAGTCTGGAATTAGGAATACCTGAGTTCAAATTTGACATCAGACACATAATAGTTATGTGATCATCAGCAACTCATATAATGGTACTTAACTCCTAGAGTTGTTGTAAGGATCAAGAGATAATATTTGTAAAACATTTAAGACAGTACTTGTGTACATAGTAGTTGTTTGATAAATACCTGTTCTCTTTCCCTTCCTCTTCTTTACAGTCTGTATCTGGCCTTCTTCTCTGCTGTCAGGGATCTACTGCCTTTGAAGATGGTTCCTCCTTTATGTTACTGGCCCTCTGTGCCATGACTATCTGTTCCTTTGAACAGTGCCTATAATTCTCTTGAACTTACTCTCCAAATGCTGTTTGGGATGTATTCTTCTGGGAAAGTAAATATGCTGCTAGATTGCATAACTAATGATGGAGGTGAGGGAAAGAGAGAGTAATCCCATATTCTCTTAAATTGGTAGTCTGAACTGACAACTTCTCTGAGGCTTGAATATTCATGGACTACTAATTTTTTGTTTTATATTTTCACTCAGTTTTGTTCATATATATATATATGTCATATATGTGTATGTACATGTA